GTGCAGCAGGACCATGAAGAAAAGGCCGACGGCCTCCTGGAACTGGGACAGCTCTGGTAGAGAGGAGGCGTCGCGCCCCGGCGTGGCGTTCAGCCCACTTCTGTTTGCCATTGTGCCGCCGGGCTTCTCCGGGGTCTCCAGCACCTAAGAAGCAGGAACGAGTTGCTAGCGTCTCCGAGCGGGAATCGTCACCACCCCCATCATCTTCCCTGGTGGAGCTTCTTCCCTGCGGGGGAGGAAGGGAAGGCGGCCAACCTGAGAAGTGAGGGAGCAAGGAGAAGGTCTGGCGAGCGACCGGTCCCCCCCGGGGGGGACACGAGCCCCTTCTCCGGGGTCTCCAGCACCTAAGAAGCAGGAACGAGTTGCTAGCGTCTCCGAGCGGGAATCGTCACCACCCCCATCATCTTCCCTGGTGGAGCTTCTTCCCTGCGGGGGAGGAAGGGAAGGCGGCCAACCTGAGAAGTGAGGGAGCAAGGAGAAGGTCTGGCGAGCGACCGGTCCCCCCCGGGGGGGACACGAGCCCCTCAGTTGCCAGTGAGGAAATTGGGCCCGTGGCTTGGTGCTGTGGACACCCGACCCTTGAGAACTGGCCTGGGACCAGCCGCAGCCTGTGGTGCTCAGGAGGCGGCCATGTTGGGTCCTTCCCATCCACGTGGGTCACCTACCCAGTAGTGTGTCACTAGGCCCTCGCAGTCCATTAAACGTGGCTTCAGGCTCCTCCTCAGCAATCCCCCACCACAAGCCCCCTGTCCCTCCCCCAGGCCAGACACTTCCCTGGGCTTTCCACGGGACGTGAAAGGAGGGGAACAAAACGGGGGGAGCTAGATGGCTGTACAATAACGACCGGTCCAGAGAAGGCGGATCGGGAGCATCTCTGTCCCCTCGGCCTTGTGGCATTCAGTGAAGTGGAAAGGTGGGCAATTCAAAACCAAGGGGTGGCCATTTGCCACACGGCACCCCCATGAACCAGCGGAACTCATTGCCACTGGAAGCTGCAGGGCAGTCACTCGCTTAGCAAGACTCAGAAAGGGATTGGACACTCCACTGGAAAACCAGATCCAGAATCCCCCCCACTAATGGGAACACACCTGTCGCGAGGGTCATTGACCCTCACACTTACGCCAGTCTCCAGAGGCACGGGGGGTGGAGGTCTCCCGAGCGCTCCTCCAACAGAGACAGGCCAGTGGGCTGGAGGGCTGTGCCCTGAGGTGGGGGATCCAGTCCCCGCAGCTGGGACCAGTGGCAATGCTGCCATGGATGGAAGTCTCTTCCCTTCTAACAGCCCCCCCATCCATCGCCACCAAGCTCCCATTGGGGTCCGGTAGCACTTCCCTGCTTCCCACTTTCCATAACTTTTCTTTTCTTTAAGCCCTGCCCCTTTCGGCTGCCAGGGACTTTCTAAATTAAGGATCAAACACTTTCCCTGCTGCTGTGGGGCCGTAGATCCCCGGGACCGCCCCTCAGAGAGCCGGACACGCTGGGGGACCACTCCCCGGGCCGCGCGGGCAGGTGCCTGGGTTCAGGACTCTGAGCTACCCTAGGCAGGGTTCTGCAGCTTCCCAGAGAAGCCTGGATTTCCCCGTTCCCGGCTGCGAGAGCCTTGCCGCGGGCCGGCCCCACAGGCAATTGGTGTAACCGAATTGCCCCATGCGGTGAACCCGCTGCTGTCCGATCTCTCTGCCCCCCGTGCCGGTAACTCACTTCCTAAGCCCATCCTGCCTTTGGGGCGCTTAGCGCAAAACCGTCGGCAAGGAGGGGCCAGATCCCTGGAGCTGGGGGTGCCAAGGGCCCCCCAGGATGAGACTCCTCCCTCCCCGCCCCTTTCCCTCTCATCCTGCCAGGAGGTGGGGATCTCACCTGGCTCCAGGGCCCCTGGCTGGCTTCCCCCGCTGGCCAGCTGAGCGACTGTGACCTCAGACAAGCCGCGATGGCCTCAGATCTGCCTGCCCCTAGGCTCCCAGCGGCCTTGGAGGACCCTGCGGCCGGGGCCCCCCCCCCCGGGGGCACGGGGGCACGAA